GTTTCTATGCTTTTTGAGGAGAGGGAGCTGAGGTGCAAAGAGTTAGTAGTAGTTAATTTTGCCTGAATACTGGACTGAAGATGCACCTGGGCACATCCTCACATGTGGACATGCACAGTCTCTCTGCCCCTCAGTCCCCTAAATGCCTTAAATTTGGGTGTGAGGAAAGATTTTGATAAATTCTTGTCCCTCCTCAATTGTTAGTGAAACTTTCCTTATTGCCCCAAAACAGTGCTTGATTTAAGGAAAGAAAACAGCAATAAGTCTGTGTTGTGTCTTCTACCAAAACTGCTGCCAGTGGTTCTGCTGACTTGAATCTCCTGCTAATAAAAAGAAGCTGACAATCTTCATAGTCACCAACCTTACCTACAGGTTTGCGCACTGTGTTAACGATACTGCAGGCAAACAAACCATTTTGTTACACTGGTGTCCAGATCCTACTGCATGACTGTTGCATTTAATTTTCAGGTACAATGACTGCACCTTTATACCTCTTCATGCAGAAAATAGAAATCATCTATTTCAATAAATAAAGTGCTGATAACATTGAAAAATTTCTCCTCTTGTAAGAGGATGGAGCGTGGAGGGCATTTTGAGGTGACATGCTCAGCTAATGTAGAAACCGAACTTACATGTTTTATCACCATTTTTCATTTACATTAAACTTTTTTTTTTGTTGTGACTTTTCATGCAGGGGTATATTGGCCATTGCGTGGAGTATGGCAGATTCGGAGCTGCTGCTTAGCTGTGGGAAGGATGCTAAAATTCTCTGCTCCAACCCTAACACAGGCGAGGTATTGTACACACACCACTTAAAAAAAACTCTGTTCAGAGGTGGCACAGTGGCATATGCAAAGCAAGTGTTGGTGTGCTTGCATTCCTAGGAATGATGCTTCTGTGGGATGTTTCTCCCTATCCTGTGTACTTGTCTGGTATATGTGCCTTCTGAGCTTGTTCTGGTGGTGCAGGATTCCTTCCTAGTATTGCTGATACTGCACATTTTTCCTTACTGCTTCTCTCCTGCTAAGTAGTAAGATCCCTGCTCATTATAAAGGATAGAAATTGCCCCACTTAAACTGAGTGTTTTCTTCCTACTCTTTTGGTTTTGTCTGGATTACTGTTGCAATTGCCTTTTTCCTTCTGAAAGTGTAAGAACTTTTATCAAGACCAGAGGGATTTTGTAGGTTACTACAATAGTGGCAGATCAGTGAGAGCCACTTGAATGTGTTCCCAGCCTGCCCTTTTGGGCCTGGGGATACCTTTCAAAGGGGATGCAGATCCTTTTTTCAGACAACTAGAGTGTTTGCCCCTAGACCACAAGAAGGGCTTCAGGCACGTTGGAGGGCTCCTTGCCTGCAGTAGGCAATAATCCTGGAGGATGGAGCGAGAAGTGTTTCTAAAATTCAGACATTGGCCCAAAAGTGCAAAAGCTGTGGGGTAGTAAATGAGTTATCTGAGCTGGATTCTGAGCTGTTAGAAAGGCTTTACATGTGGATGAAGCATACATGTTTTTATTAAAAATAAGAAACAGTTTCCTGGGAGACAGTGAGGCAGTTAGCATTTTGCTCTTTGAGTTTCTCCTAGTTTATAGTTAAATGTCTGCTGCAGTGGTGGGCTTGTCTGTTCCAGGGCAGGAGAGGCTGTCTGCCCAGAGTGCAGGTTTTAACTTTTCCAATTTTCCTGCGAAAACAGACTTACTTTGGAGCCTGGACATGTCTCCATGTAGTGTGTAGAGATACTCAGATTAGCTCTGAATGACCTAGCATGAATATTGGCAGCAGCTCCCAGCTTGCAGTGGGACAGCACAGACATACCCGCCCTGCATAGTTTCTCCTGTGTGGATTAAACAGAAGACTTAATGGGAGGAGAAGGAAATTAAGCAGTGGTGTGTGATAATCTCCTGTTCAGCGATTGTCAGGGTTTGCCCACTGTTAGAGTGTATGGTGACATGGAGGCTGCTGGAGAGCAAGACAAGCAGACAGGAGAATTGTTGCTGTTGGACGTGGTACTTCATAAAAGCCCTGATTTGTTGGACTTGTTTTTGCTGCCCAGGTGCTGTATGAGTTGCCCACAAACACACAGTGGTGCTTTGATATCCAGTGGTGTCCCAGGAACCACGCTGTCTTGTCTGCGGCTTCATTCGACGGGCGGATCAGCATTTACTCCATCATGGGAGGCAGCATGGATGGCTTGAGGCAGAAGCAAGTTGACCAGGTATTGAGAAATGTTCAGCTAAGAATATGGACAGAAAGAGGGGGCAGAGGGTGCGGTTTGGAAATGGGCTCATGTGAAGTCTTCTTGCTGCTGTCTGCAGCCCTGCGTTGCAGGAGTACCAATCCAGTGCAAATAAATGTTTATGTTTAGTTTATTGGAGATATGTCACTTCTGTTTTTTCCCCCTTTTGTTATTGAAGCTTTCATCATCTTTTGGGAACCTTGATCCATTTGGTACAGGACAGCCCCTCCCACCCCTGCAGCTTCTTCAGCAGACTGCCCCACAGAGTGTCATTTTGCCCCTAAAGAAACCACCCAAATGGATCCGGCGACCTGTGGGAGCATCATTTTCGGTAAGCAAGAGACAAAGCTGGGCATGGTTGGCCAGGTAGGAAGGGAGATAGCCGTGGCACTTGCAAAACACTTTAGGAAGAGGGGAGTTCAACATTGTACTCCGCCTTAGGAGAACTTCCCCTGTTTGTCGTTGTGACGGGAGGTGCTCGCAGCAGCTTCCAGACTGGGTGCTTGGGACAGCAAGCCAGCAACAGTGTGACAAAAATGCTTGGGGAAAAAGAAACAAGGAGGTGGTGTGTTGCCAACAGGCACTTGTAGCTTTCTGTTTTGGGAGTAGGGCTTTGCTTTTATTTATGTGCAGTGCTTGCTCTGGAGTAAACAAATGTACGTTGGGAGGGGGGAATGGGACCAAAATGGGTATCTGAGATCTGAGTGCAGTTTGAAGCTATTATGTGAGTCAGTGTGGTGGAGAATACTCAGGTCAGCACTGATCAAGGTAGCAGGAGTTGCTGTAGCAGCACACAACTAGGGTCTTCCATGGCTGGTTGATTTGCAGAGGAGCCAGGTGAGAGGGTGGCAAAGCCCTGCTTTTCATGAGAGCAGAGTTGTCTGCTCTTTGGCTCCACCTTTGGCTTATTTTCTAGACCCACAAGCCATTTCTTAGGGATCTCCTGAAGATTTTAGCCTGTCCACTTGAAAGGGATTTCTTTGCTGAAATACTGCTCAATTTTCAGCATTGTATGTCTGCTTATTCATGATCTGATGTGCAAATTAAATGCAATTTTCTCCCGTCAAAGAGAAGTGATGTTACCTAGCCGCTGACTGATGTGTCATTTTATAATAGTGTTTATTCCCTCATTCGTCCTGTTTTTCCAGGAGCCCGCTGTCAGTATTTTTCTTGGCTAGGCTTTTTGCTTTTTCTAATGCTGACTTTGTAATTTATTTGACTGGCCTATATAAATTAACTTTGAGCTATAGAATGAAATAATATTAGAAGTAGCTTATAATATTTTTTTCTTCTGTTGATTTTACTTCTCTCCAAATCATGACACAACTTACTGCCCATTTCTCATAGGCTTTTAACTGGTAAACAGCCTACCAAGAGCAGGGCAGACGTCATGCTTGAGCATTTATTTAATGATGCATAGGTTTCTTTGGTAATTACATTGCAATATGATGAGATACTCCATTTATGCTGGGCACTGTACAGACTCACAGCTCCAGTTCTCAGTTTCTAGTCAGTCTTTTCCCTGAGAAGAAATGGGCACAGGAGTAGCTGTGCTCATAAATCTTAACTAAATGTGTACCCACTTACCCAGCAAGCTCCTTACATGCATAGAAATATGGGGTGGTGGAAAAAAGTCAATGAGTTGATGTCAGGAATGTTTGTTCATTGAGCTTATATACAGTATATAAAATCATGTGCATACATATGTGTATGCTCATACTTTTTCATATATACTCCAGTGTGTACTTGTATTTTTTACATACTGCATGTGTGCCTCAATTCCAGTTTGGAGGCAAGCTGGTTACGTTTGAGAATGCCAAGTCTCAGCAGCAGCCAGGCATCGAGCAGCAGCAGCAGTGTCACCATGTCTACGTGAGCCAGGTTGTTACAGAGAAGGAGTTCCTGGCCCGCTCGAACCAGCTGCAGGAGGCTGTGCAGTCTGAAGGCTTTGCCAACTACTGCCAGAAGAAAATTGACATGGCCCAGGCTGACTTTGAGAAAAACGTGTGGGCCTTCTTAAAGGTAACAGGATAACAGCAGTTCAGGAGTTCCCCGCTGACTTGGAAAGCTGGTACAGAAATGGTTCCTTCTGCACAATATGGTGTTTTAGCAGAAGAGATGCTGGCTGGGAACCAAAGTGTAGGCTGTGGGAATAGTGCCCATAAGCCTGGCTGTTGGAGGTGGCCCACCAGAAACGAGAGGGTTCTCAGGGCCAGGGGTGTTTGGGGGGGTTGTGAGAAATCATCACAGAAGCCAAGGCTTGGGGGAAGGTATCCTTTGGTTTTTGACATCCTCCATCAGTACATCTTTGTACAGGGAGCTGGTGAGAAGGCATAAAGCTTTGTGACAGTTTTAGATATGCTTTTCACTGCTCACTATGAACATTTAGAAGTTTCCAAGTGAAGCAGATAAGCAGATTGTTCACCTACAATAACCACATTGAAGCCTTGCCTTACCTGCTTGGGTGCCCAAGTCACTGAAGGCCTTTTCAGTTCTCTTTATTACACTTACTCTCCACAGTCATAGCTCTCACTGGGTAATTTGTGCCAGTCAAGTAAAAAGCCAGTGACGGAGAAAATGCAAAATTTTGAATTGAAATATATTCTTTAACTTTTGTTTTTTAAAGGTGAACTTTGAAGAAGATTCACGTGCTAAATACCTTGAGCTCTTGGGATATAGGAAGGATGATCTGAAGAAGAAGGTAAAAGTGCCTGGAAGCTGTGCTTGTGTTAAATGCTTTACTGATGGGTGTATCCACAGAGTACAGCCTGAAATGTTGATGATGCCATGTATGGTTGAAGTACTCATTTACCTGTGGGATGGTGCTGTGGTTTAGCCCCAGTTGGCAACCAAGCACCACACAGCTGCGCACTCACCGCCCTCACCCCCACAGTGGGATGGGGGAGAGAATCAGAAGAGGAGAAGTAAGAAAACTTGTGGGTTGAGATAAGAACAGTTTAATAATCGAAATAAAATGATAATAATAAATTGTAATGAAAAGCAAAAGAACAAGAGAGAGAAAGAAGCAAAACCCAGGAAAACCAAGTGATGCAACAGCTCGCCACCCACCAAACGACATTCAGCCAGTCTCTGAGCAGCGATCGCTGCCCCCTGACCAACTCACCCCAGTTTATATACTGAGCATGATGTCATATGGTATGGAATAGCCCTTTGGCCAGTTTGGATTGGCTGTCTTGGCTGTGTCCCCTCCCAGCTTCTTTTGCTGGCAGAGCATGGGAAGCTGAAAAAGTCCTGACTGGTGTCAGCACTACTTAACAGACTGATGTTTTAGTTGTTGCTATGAACATTATTCTCCTACTAAATCCAAAACACAGTGCTATACCAGCTACTAGGAAGAAAATTAACTTATCCCAGCTGAAACCAGGACAGAGTGGAAGAGCAATTACCAGTGTCCACAGGCTATTCAATACAGTAAACATTTTTATATAACATTATTTTCGGTCTGTTTCCCAGCAGATAGTATTTGTCAGTACTGCAGCTCTCCTAATAGCCATAATACAACTGTTACCCATGGTGCTGGAGCCTCTGTTTAAATATGGATGACATGAATAGTTGCGTTATTTAAGGAATTCCTTTGTTCCAAAGGACACTAGAAATCTTCCTCTGCTTTTTAAATTTTGTCTAGATAAACAACTCATGAGTAACTTCAGAATTCTTACAGCAAACAGTTTGCTTTGGGTTTTTTATTAGCTATATAATTTTCTTGCAATAAGGATGTTCAACGAAAATTTCAAAGCAGGCAACACACTTCAGAGGTGTGTCTGCATCTGACTGTCCAATGTTGATCTGAAATTCTCACCCATCAAGAAGCTTTGATACTTGTCGGTTCAAGCTATTCATGTAACTTTATTATGTCATCCTTCTACTGTAGCATCATGGAATCTGATCTGGTTTTAGGCTCTCTGGTTGAAGACCATGTAAGCAGTCTTCAGGCTTTCATTAACTACCTTGGCAAACTTAGAATAGTCCTTTTTTTTGTGTGGAACACCATTCATTTTTACAAAAAAAAAAACCCAAAAACCACCACAACCCCCCCCCCCCCCCCCCCCTCCCCCCCAAAGATCAAACCTGGTTACATTTGGAAAGGCAAAATTTGGATTACCAGGAAGCAACTTGCACATCCTAACTGTAGAGCGTTCTTCCAAGTTGGAAGAAGATCCTTATCTCAGTGTTACAGGGGATGCCTGCTGTGCATTTTGGCTCTTTGTTGCTTTCGGTGCTATACCCAGGAACTGTCTAGTATTTCTTCAGTTCTGATTCAGTGGATTTGCATGTTTGACTCATTTTTCAAAGAGTGGCTCCATAAAGATTTCATTGTGGTTACGAATTAAATGGCCTCCAGGGCAAACTTATTACAGAAAAAATAATGTTTTTGCTAATAGTCTGTCCTCAGCTTCTAAATTTTTGTTGCATGAGTCAAAGGCAAGCACAGCAAGGGAAATCCTGTTTTTGAAAAGCAGATGTCAATTAGAAAATCCAGTTGAAATTTAATAGTGTTCCTGTGGAGTGGCCTCATGCAGACTGGAGCCCACTGCCACTGTTGGTCTGGGTTTGATATGCCCTGTGCATGGGGAGAAGCTGGGAAAATGGGCATAGCTGAATTGAATAGCCTGAAATGCTGGGCCTACCCCATTATTTCTGTATTTGACGAACAGATGAGGGGAGCTGAAAGGTCGTGTTTTCATGTAGCTGTTTGTCAACAAAGCATTCCAAGTTGAAGTTGAATTAATGTTTTTTAGTGTCAAGAAATAATACAGGACCGCTCATCTGAAAATTTCTGATACCCAGATGATAAGCTTGCTAAAATCACAACTTGTTTTTCATGTTACTGGTAGGGTAAGGAAAGTAAAAAGGGTCACAGATTTCAGCTTCTTGGAATAAGCTGTTAAGAACACAGTGTTTTATTTTTATCTTCTTAAAACCTGTGATTCTCATATGCAGGTCAAGTCCTGAATTTCTCCTTTCTATTGTAAACTAATGATTAAGAAAGAGAGAGAAAACTATCTCCAGCAATTTGAGCTCAGTTTTTTGTGAAAACTAGCCTACAAGGGTAAAATAAAGCCTGCAGTACTAAAAGCAGTAGATAACATTAGCAGCATTAGGAAACCCAGGCTCCCAGATGCTGAACTAATATATTTTTTGCATGTATTCTAAACTCTATACACTAAACTGGTGTTTTTGACAGCCCTAATTGAATCTGGAGTCACGATTTGCCTTGCAAAGCAGTAGAAGCTGGGTATTTTAACTCTTCCGTACCTTGGACAATCCTAGCCCACATCCCTATGCCTGCTGTGCTTGAAACCACAGCTTTCTGACAATCTTCCTGCTACACAAGGATTGCAGCTGCTTCATTTTCCCTAACCAGAGCAGACAGAGGGTTTTGTCCTGCATGCTCTGATACTATTTTTATTACTGTGGTTTCCAGTAGCTCTAGTGAGGTTTGTGACCCTTGAGTTACCAATTAAAAGGCGTAGAGCAGCTGTTGTTCCCATCAGAGCTTGGAGTGCAGGGGGCTTAGCCTGCTGGGAAGGGAATCCATCATCAGGCTGGGAAAGGAAATGGCTTTAGTTTCACGTTAACTGTTCTGCAGGCAACATATTAGCTACATGTGCCAGTTTTGCAATCCAAGAGATCAGTGTGATGTCTGCCTCTCTAAAATAAAAGGGTACTTAATTAAATCTTGTTGTTTTCTAGATTGCATCTGCTCTGAATAAAGAGGGTCTTGCAGATGGTGACTTGGGAGAGGTGAGCAAACATGTGTGTACAGCTGTGTTCAGTTTTATAATGCCATGGTAATGGGCAAAGTAAGAATAATTTTTCTTTCTGCTTGGTAGCTGTCACAAAGCAAGTCACAAATAACCCATCATATGACCAGTTCCTACATTCAGTAGGATGAAGGTACTTATTTAAAAAAACAAACACGTTTTTCCACTCAAATGTCCCCCACCCCCGCCTCTTCCCTAACAAAGGGCTGTCAGTCACAGGTTTTAGTTCAGGGTCTCAGTGATGTTCCTCCACCTTTCCTTTTTGCTGCCCAATGTGACACTTTGTGCTGCCTGTGACGTAGGGCAGAGCATTGCTACCTGGCAGCTGGTCTCAAGAGCAGCACCTTGCCAGGCTTTAAAAAAGGCAGGACTGAGAGTGTGGTCCTGTAATGCTTCCCTGCAAGAGTGATAAATACAGTTCAGGTGTTGCCTGTTGTAATTGCAATGGCCTGAGTCTAGAACAGGGGGGCTGCATTGCTTTTGTGCTGTAGACATTTTGGATGTCATATGTAGTCGCCTAATGGGGAAGAAAAGATTTGCTGCATGTTTTCAGGCAGCTAAGATGAAAACAGCACAAGGTACTGTGTAATGACAAAGATCAAGGAAATGGAGGGCCTCTACCATGTTTGTCATACGCAACCATATATTTCAAGTGCATTTTTGTGATTCTCAGTCTGTTTCTGGCTACTGTTGGTGGGAAGGTGGCTATACTGTGCAGTGCAAAGTACTACTTCCTCTTTTGCTGGCTTTTTTTTTTTTTAATGGCATCTTCTTTCTGCTGAAGGCTCCTGCAGAATCTGATGAATCTGGGCCAAATGAGGGGGACAAAGGCCAGGCTACAGAGGAGCAGTTCTTGGGAGAGGTATCTGTTGCCCTCTAGACTAACCCTGTTGACCTCCTGTGTATTTACTTTGTTACTATTAAGAGCATTTTATTTTGTTGGGTTTTCCTAGTGCTGAGGATATATGGAAATACAAAAATTACTTAGAATGAGTAAAATGTCGGCTCTTGTTAGGTTGCTTGAGATTTTTTCATCAGCCTCAGACATCATTTAAATAGATTTTGGCGGCAATAAAGAATGAGCTCATTTTGTAACAGTCCAGTTGGCACCAGACTCAAGGACTTTATTCAGCCATAGTTTTCACTCTGATATTTCCCTAACATGTACTAAATGATCTGCTGCCACAATTCTAATGCATTCCTCCCCACCGCCCCCCGCCTTCCTCACTTCTTTCTTCCTTTGGTTGATTATTACCAAGCTGTCAGCTTATTACTGCCCTGTATATAAAGGTATAACATTTTGCAGAGATGCAGCTGTGGTACTGGAAGAGAGGGGGAACGTTTATTCTCTGCATTGCTCCCACCGATATCACAGTGCCATCCATCCCTGTTGCACCTGAACAGCGAGTATCAGGGCTTTGGTAGCCAGCTGCCTCATGAATGTCTGTTGCAACAGTTCATCCAGGTTTATCACAGGCAGTTTGTGCTCCACCACATCTGCCTTTGGGATCCTAGAGCTTTTAGAATCATAGAATCGTCTAGGTTGGAAAAGACCTTTAAGATCATCCAGTCCAACCATTAACCTACACTACCAAGCCCACCTAAACCAATCAAGGGCAGACTAGACTAAACCATATCCCGAAGTGCCACATCTACCCGTTTTTTGAACACTTCCAGGGATGGTGACTCCACCACCTCTCTGGGCAGCCTGTTCCAATGCTTGAATGCTTTTGTTCACTTCTATGCATTTGAGCAGCTTTGTTTTCAGCCCTGTGTTTTAAATATGGGGACAGGTCTATAATTAGAACTAAAGACCCAGCCTCTGCCATGTGAAGTTATAGCACTGAAAATACTAGTATTGCTGTGTGAACAGGCCAGCTTCATTCTCCCCCATTCCCTCAGCCTCTCTTTTGGGTTAGAATTTGAGCTGTTAGCCCCAAACTACCTATGTTCGCTGTGCTCAAACCTGTGCTTGGTGCCTGTCTGCAGTTGTCTGTGAAGATGAGGATGGTGGTTTATGGCTCATGCGTGTTGGAGTGGTGCACTTGTTGACTCCATGTAACAGCCTGTTAAGGACACCAAAACAGAGCACCCTCCTTAGATTAGGTGCTTGATTGCTTATTAATTCATTAGACACTGCAAAGGCAGACACATGTGTCTGACTGTGTAAGGATTTTGCTGTATGCAATCATGAAGATACGTTTGTTATGAGACATCTAGTATCTTCTAGGAGAGAAATCACAGCCAAACGTGACCGTAGTCTACCAGAATGAGAGGTAAATATTTGTGAGGTTGGCCTGAAGCCACTGATGATGCATTGGGGAGTGCTGTCACATACATAAAGTAACTGGATGGGCACATTATTCCTGTGATATTCACAATGTGCTCTCAACTGATACCAAACACATATCGTGCATTATGTGACAGCAAAATAATTTTCCAGACGCTGCCTCCTTTCATGAGCCTAACATAAAGCTTGTTTCAGAGTTACCTCCCCATCCCAAATGCCTGTTCTTGGTTGACTGTGTACTCGTTCTTCATCCTCTGAAGTACAATTTCACTGACCAGCATATAAGCAGGGTGTTCTCAGTAGACTTAACTCCCACTGCATGTACTAGCACGCTGGCTTATGACAGAGGAGGCAGTTTGTGGGACAATTTCTGCACTCTTCTTAGGCTGTGCTGTGAAAATTTATGGTGGAGAGAGGCTTCCCTCTTGGTATTACTTCTTTATTATTAAAGCTTTTGTTTGAAACCTCAAGTACTTGCAGGAAATGCTCTCTATCTTAATTCCTGGGGGAGTTTTATAAAAAAGTAGCTTCTGTCTGCTGAGCACTCCTGTACCGAGTACAAAGTGCTTAAGTCTGTGTGGACCATGCTGGACTTCTGTGTTGAAAATTAAGCATGTGTTCATGTGTTTTGCTTGATTAAACTAGGGTGTATGCCTAGTGCAGAGTGTTTCAAGAATGAGCTGAAAGTCTAAGTGGAGCAAAGTGAAACCTAGATAGCATTATGGTAGACTGTTCTTGGTAGGGGTTGAAGTTGAAAGAGGAAGGAAGGGAGAAGGTTTCTGATTTTGTGGTTGTGGCTGTTGTTTTGCTTTAGGGGGTTGCATGTATATTGGGCACGAATGCACGTATGCAAGTCAGTACCCAGGATCCAGGTGTCTGGTTGCTGGTATTTGTGATCTCTAGGTATGCACACTTGTGCTTGCATAAGCCTTCCATGGTGGTTAGAAATCTGGGGCTTCCAGCGCTTTCCCCCCTTGGCATCCAATTTAAAAAATGGTCCACTCTGATCTCTCGAAACAGTGATTTTATAATGGCGTGTTTACGTGCGCTGGAGGTCCTTTGATAAGCCCAGGCCTTTCTCAGTGTGCTTAGGAGATGACTTTGTGCAGGCAGCAGGCTAAGTTGATTATCCTGTGCTGCAACAGTGTTCTAACAAATGACAGGGATAGTCTTCCCTTCTAAGTTAACGATCTCTTAGGTGACTGGTAGTCTGAAGGTCTATCTTTAACTTGTAATGCAAGAGTCATACTTTTTAAATGTGTGTGTATATTCCAAGTGTTTACATAATCTCAAAAATTATGCTTTTCCTTTCTCTTAGAGGGTGAAGGACCATAAACAAGAAACTGAAGATTTGGTATCTGCAAAGAAGACATTTAACATCTCTGTTAGTGGAGGTAAAAAAAAACCAAACCTTGATATTGATTTCATTGTATGTGCTGATATTTATAAATACTGATGTTGATACTGGTATTCCAGTGAGAAAGCAATTTCTGCACAGATTGTGAAGGATTATCATGACTTGCCTCTAACTCCATTCATTTCACAGCAGTCTCAAGGCACTTGAAAATACAGCTTCTATAGCGAAGGAAAGGAAATACACAGCATTCATATACCCCATTGCTGAAATGCAGCTACTCTGAGTGATTTCTGGTATAAAAGAACACACACCTGATCAGGCATGAAGCGCTAATGTTGCTGTTTGTACAGAAACTCCCAGGGGATCTTGAATAACACAGAAGACCATTGACCCCTGTCTAGTTTTGGCTTTGGTTTTGGCACTGTATGCAGAGTAGTTGTTTCAGGGGTCATTTAGACCTCTGGCATTTTGCTAGCATTCACTAGCATGTCGCTCTGCAGCAAGGTAAGTGATACTTGATAGTGCCCCACCTGATGTGGCTGTGACCATAGTGTGTTTGAGACTGGGATGAACTTGAGCATCCCTGTAAGTACCTGCCTGGAGCAGGCTGGTTTGCAGAGAACTTTGCATAGTGTTGTACAGTGGGACAGAATCACCTGGTGTTGCATATTAAGTGATATTTGTGTCATCATTTAAAAATGCACTCCTCTCATTGCAGATGTGGATGGTTTGATTACCCAGGCTTTGCTGACTGGTAACTTTGAGAGCGCAGTAGATCTCTGCTTGCACGATAACCGCATGGCTGATGCCATTATCTTGGCCATCGCAGGTGGACAAGAGCTGCTTTCTAGGACACAGGAAAAGTACTTTGCTAAGATGCAGAGCAAAATTACCAGGGTATGTTTTTTTCAGTTGAGAAACAACATGCATGTAGGCCTTTGGCAACTCCGTTTTTCACATTAAAAGTTTTCTTGCCTTTTCATAGGTTTATTTCTGTGAGAAGCTAGTAAGTACTCAAGTCATCCACAAGATCTCAGAGCAGAAAGATTTCTGTTACTCTTTTTTTAATGCATCAATAAGGAGAGAAGAGGCGCACTACCTGGATATCAATACACAAGAAGAGTGTTCTTTACTGTGTCTCTGAGTTGCATATACACTAGTAGATCCTCACTGATAAAGATAAATATCTTAAGTAGCACATACTTCAGTCTGTTATCTTGTCACATTTTTAAAGAGTTGCATGTGACCCATGCTCAGTGCCAGCAGTGTTGTGTTCATCAGTCTTAACAGCCTGTGATCAGTCTTAACAGATTTTGCCAGTGATTTGTTTCACTGCATGCACAGAAGAGAACTAAGCATGCCCTAAGTAAGGGTAGATAATCACCCTTTGTCTACGAGACAGTGTATTATGGCCAGCTGGTTATTATTCTTTTCAGCTTTTTGCAATGCTAGGGATTGCTGATGCTGTTCGTTCAAATCTTTCTTCTTTACTACTGATGTGAGAAAGTACCAACAGGAGGATGAAACAGGAGAAGTTGCCTTAAAAGAGCACAGGACAATTGGTTTGGCAAGGATGGCTGCTCTTAGAGGAGGGGAGAAAGTTGCTCACGTCACCTTCAGCAGTCCATTGTCAAAGAAGGGCTTTTTATACAGTAGCAGGAGGCAGCCTGTAAAAAGGGCATGTTCTCAATTGTTTTCCTGGAGCAGGGCTGAAGGCTGCAAAGCACAGTCACTTGGGGAGTTAGGGTACACAGCACCACAGGCTAGGGTCTGTAAGTGGGATTTTGCTGCTTGTTACCTGTGATCCAGTTTAAGATAGGAACAATTTGCATTTCTAGTAGTGGACAAGTGAAAAGAGGAAAATCTCAAGTATTAAGACTGCAGGATTTCTTTCCCTGCCCCCAGCTCCTTTCCCGTCTCTTCCTAATCAGGGGAAGGAGAATTTTGTAGTGTGTGGGAAACTTCTTCACTGTAGTTCATCCTTTGGGAAAAGGTATTTTTATGAAGAGCTGACCTGTGCCTGTGCTAATGAGTGACCTTGTAGTTGGGACCTTGCATTTGTTGTTCAGGTGTGATTTCTTCTTTTCTGGTTGCAGACTGCACACTTACTGCTTGTTCAGCTGTTTCTGAGCTTGAAGTCTTGGCATGACAAGAGCTTTGTTCACTAAATAGCAGCACAGCTGCCAAGTCTGTCTTTTTTGTCTGAAGCAAAATAACCGGAGACAGAGTTTGAGACAGAAGGAACTGGAATTTCATTCTGAGGGTTTTTGGACAGGCATGGGTGCAGGGTAGGGATACTGCAGCCAGCTCAGGTTGATATTGCTGCCAACTTGTTTCTTCCTTCAAGCAGCCTTTTCAACTGCCCCTTGCTGGTCAGCTTGAGGCCAAGAGCTTAAAGCTGAATGAAACAGTTTGACAAACAAAATTCATACCCCTTGCTGGGCACTGTGTAGAAGACTTATAGCTAAATACTTGGTATGTTATCTATGTCTGCAAAAACAGCGCTGAAAACTATCTGCAGCAATCCCAGCTTGCAGAGATTTGTGCATTCTTTTCTGGCATGTTTTGCAACAAGAATAATTGGCCTGTCTGTATTTTCTGAGCTTGTTTTGTGATTTTCACTGAACTCCTTTTGAAGTAAGATGTACTCTTGTGCAGCTGTTGAATTGCAGTGGAGTATCTGCTGTAACCCTGGATACAGTGGGGATGAATACACTTGAATAGATACAAATTATACTGTATCCTAAAAAAAAGGAAGTTCTACCAAGGTCTTAACTGTGGTATCTCTCCTCCTGGTCTAGCTCATCACTGCAGTGGTAACAAAGAACTGGAAAGAGATTGTGCAGTCTTGTGATCTGCAGAATTGGAGAGAGGCTTTGGCTGCTGTGCTCACTTACGCCGGGCCAGATGAGTTTGCAGCCCTTTGCGGTAAGGACACTTTACAGGCTGGATGTCATTTATTCCACTTACAGCAAAGCTACACTTTGCCATGGTTGTTTTCCTTCCAGTAAATTACTGTAATGCCTTGCTAGTTTCTTTGATGGATAATACAGTTCTTCAGTCCTGTTGCAGAGGAGGAGGAGAGGAACCTCTGGGGTGCTGTGTTCCCAGTATGTTCCCTGATTTTCTGGGCACAGAACCCAGACCCTTGTGAGCAGATGCATCCTGGTATCACCTGTGTAGTGCACAGCTGCTGGTCTCTTACTGTTTCCAGATGTGTAATGGTGATGTTGATGTGACAGGTGTCTCAGCCAAGGGACCAGCGTCTTGGAGTGTTTGTGCATGGGACACAAGTGGAAATGTTTCAGGGAAGTGCTTCACTCTTCTTTCCCAAGAGCAATTTTGACTTCTTGGAAGGAGTCTTCTTTCACAGGCAGTGAGCATGCTTGCCCTCATGTACACTCTATGGCAGACAGCTGGCTGGGTTTAACCCACAGGGAAGTTATATTGCCAATAGCTGTGTGCCTGACACCCTGTCCCCCTCAGATGCCAGCCACAGTACAACTCGTTTCAGCACACGTCAGCCCAGAGCAGTATCATGGCTTTGTTCATCACAGTTGCTTGGCTGGTTGCACACTCGGGTCACGCTCCTGAAATAAAGGAATACAAAGTGGGTGGCAGAGGGGAGAATCAAACCCTGGCCTCTTGTCCTCTGTCATGTCAGCAGATGGACTGTCCCCTCTGACATGCAGGTGTTTGACAAGTCCTTGCTGCCATGGCATTAACTGCCTCCGAAGTACTATGAGCTCCCATGAAATAATCTGTGCTGGACACAGGAGTATGTCCTTACCAATGGAGCCCAGAGGCAATATCCCTTCTCACTGTGCTGAGCAGAGATGCAACAGGCATTGCAGGCTTCCCCAGCCTCAGCAGTGATGGAGGCATTGCTGAAGTGGTTCACCAGCATCTTCTTTGTTCGTCTTTTTCCTAGATCTCCTGGGAAACAGGCTGGAGAGTGAGGGGGACAGCCTTCTGCAGACACAGGCTTGTCTCTGTTACATTTGTGCCGGCAACGTGGAAAAACTCGTTGCTTGTTGGACCAAAGCTCAGGATGGAAACAGCCCCTTGTCCCTTCAGGTTGGTAATTCTGTTAAGAAAGATGTTGGAAGTAACACACTGCAATCATTTGGCACTTGAATCAAATGATCTAGTGTAGAGCTTTGATGCTGTCTGATAGCTGCATGTATCTCAGGATGCAAGCCTTTTCCTTCTGGAACAGGTAGCTTTTGTAGAAGTAACACATAAATATGATATTGGAAAATGTGCTGTGAAGCACGATGTCCCTTATGTCTGCTCTGTTCTTTGGGTAGTCATGCTAATATGCTTCTTGTATAAAAAGGTAGTTGTAGGGCTTAGAGTGTTTTGGTAAAGGGGCTTTGAATGCTTGTATCTTTTGCAGTAGGGGAATACTTGGATGTTTTTGCATTTGGAAGAGATGGCTTGGATCTTCAGGGGAAGAAATCTAATAAATTATGGTTAAATCTGGAAGGAAAACTGTAGGAAGGTTCTCATGAGAGTTTTTCTCTAGGAGGTTAAACCTACAGGGTTTGGTTTCCAGTGGTGAAATATGTTGCATATAGCAAATATCTTGGGGGAATAGGATTGACGATAAGATGAAGCAACTATGGAATAATTTGTTTTATAGTATAATCTTAGTTTCTTCCATCTCTTGAGGGCCTTTGAAGGACCAGTTTTAGAAAGTACTTAAAGTAATGTTACCTGGCAATGCAGTGAGTCTCTAGTTAATTGAAGGAGTTTTGCTTTGCATTATTAACTCTCTCCGGTTTTGAATTACCAGAATTACTTTCCAGTCTCTTGATTGTGAGGGCTTTGTTTACAGATTTACCTTGAGTTTGAATTTGCATTTTGATTGCATTGCTTTGCTCTCTTGAGCTAAAATTGAAAAATATTTTTGGAGTCATAATGAGGCTGCTTGTTTACTATGATGTGGAATTGCTGAAACTCGTAGAAGCTGTTGGTTATCTTGTTTTTTTTAATTTGCCTTTTTTGAAGTGCTAATTTGTTGGGAAAAACAAAAATGTAGTATTGAACAGTCAGTAAACAGTCCTTATTAGTGATGTATGGTTGAAATCCTGTGTGTGGTACGCTCATTAAATCTGTCTTCCAATATAATACAGTGACAGTAAGAAAAACATGAGAAAACTGACCAGAAAATGTTCCTGTAACTTAGCACTAGGAGGAAATCCAACCAAGACCGGTTCTGGTATTTGGGGATGTGCAAGGAGGGCAAGATACGGAGTATTCCTGGTGAATAAAAGGAAAACCATCTTTGCAGTAACCACTGGAAAATGATGGACGACTCTCCCAAGGGAGTTCTTAAACACCTTAATCAAAAGGACCTAAGAACTGACTTACTAAAATGCTGCAAACAAATGCATGGCGCCCCAGCACTAATAGTGGTGATGGACATGATGTTTTCCATTCACTGTCATGGCTCTTGCCAGATATTTTTATGAAAGCATACTCTTTTGGTGGACATGCTCAGTGCTGATAGGGCACTGAAATTCTGTTTAATAAAAGCAGTTCTTTTGGCTTTGAACTCTACCTGATGCGCTGCTGGCTTTGCTGTTAGAAGCCACTTGGTGCATGGTTGCTGGTTGCTGTTCTATTGTCTCCGTGCTGGGAAAGTCATGCCTTCAGTGCAGCTGTAACTGTCTGGGAAGCCTGCACTTGGCTTGGGCTTCCCATCAGGTGATAGGGGTTCTGCAGGGCTGCCCTGAGGAACAGCCCTCCACAACAGTTGTTAGCCTACTTCACCCCATCGTTCTCATTTGTGTGTTTTGGTTTGGGTTGGTTTTTTTTTTTCCCCCGATCTTCCAGGATTTAATAGAGAAAGTCGTAATCCTGCGCAAAGCCGTGCAGCTCACCCAGGCTGTGGACCCTAATGCTGTGGGGGCCCTTTTGGCTGAGAAGATGAGCCAGTACGCCAACCTCCTGGCTGCCCAGGGCAGTATTGCTGCAGCTTTGACCTTCCTCCCTGCAAACACCAACCAGGTACGGGGCCTCTAGGTTTTTTACTCCCTCCCTCTGTGTGAACAGGTGTACTTTGAGCAAAGGTCCCTGCATGCTGCAGTTAACCAGCAGGACTGCCATTTGAAATGCACCTCAGGATGTGATGGTCAGGCTGTTTCCCCTGTCCCTGCACTGGCCTCACTGAGCTGGCAGAAGTACACAGCCTTGTTCTTCTCCCTCTTCATTTCACACCCTTGTCCTTGCAGCCAGTGGCTGCCAAGGGGGCAGCTGTCCCTCCTGCAAGCCAGACAGTGAAACATGTACCTTGACACTTGGTTGGCTGTTTTCTTTTGATTTCTCATCTTCCATCAGCTAGTAGTTGTAGACAGGCTGGCTTGGGAATGATGCAGCCCAAGATGGGAGGCAGGCACATGGAGGACACTTGCAATGGCCCCATGTCTCGTGCAGAAAAGACTTCAATCAGATAAAGCAGAGCAGGCTTCTGAGAGACAGCTCATCAGTGTGTGGCCAGTCAGCCTCTGGGTGTGATGCACTGGGTGACAGGCAGTGCAGTTAACCTTCCTTCGGTGTCCTCTTCTGATTGCAGCCAAACATCGTGCTGTTACGGGACAGGCTTTGCAGAGCTCAAGGGGAGCTGCCAGTGGGACAGGAGGCCCTCAAGGCACCATACGAGAGACAGCCCATGCCCAAAGGACGAGCTGGCCCTGTGGCTGGACAGATGCAAGGGCCCCAGGCTCCAGCCCAGCAGTATTACCAACAGGTAAATGGTTTTTGGTAGTCAGGGAGGAACATGGTGCTTGAGTTCTGGAAAGCGATGGATAGAGGAATTTTTTTCCTTTCCGTTATCTGAGCTGGGGCTGTATGACACCTCTACCAAGAGCCTTGTGGTGAATGTCTTTGGTGCTGCTTTTGAATCAGTACAGATGCCTCTGGAAACATCCTTTAAACACCTTGTCAGGTAGCTGGCTTCTGAAGAGGAGGTGTTTTCCCCCTTTGTTTGAAAATGTGCTTCAGTACCAAGAATGACTTTGTGGGAGAGCACTGCAGGATTTTTCCATGCTTGTTCTCATAGTCCCTGATGTTGTCCCATCCCCGCAGGCCTTGGACCTTGCTCATGCTGCTCACCCGCCTCTTCTGGGGCTGATTATTTCCCTGTCCAGCTCTGATGTTGGCTGCAGAAGTCGCTGAGCAGTGGCAGTAGCAAACTGAGGGCATGTTTTGGCAGTTGTGGGTACAGCCTGCTATGAAAACACCTTCCCAAATGGGCATAAGGGAGCATAAGCAGTATGGGCAGGGGGGTGAGACAGGAGCGGGGAGGTAGGTCTGGGCTGAGAGTGAGCTGTGCCAGAAGAAAGACACGGTGAGTATGGGACTGTGGGACTGCTGGGGGCTGTGCAGGGAGGAAGAGCAAAAATGGGGGAGGCAGATGCCCGGCTTTATCTCTAGCCTGAGGACAATACTGCATCAGACCATGTTGGCCATCACCAGTGTGGTGCGGTGGGCAGCCCTGGCTGTGAGCATGCTTAAAGAGGATCGCCAAGTCCCTAATCCCTCAGGACAGTGCTGGAGCTCATCTGGCACTGCTCTACACAGGGTCTCTGGGCTGAACTTTTCTGAGAGTGGAGCCATGCTAGTGCTGCGGGTCTTCTCCTTACACAGAAGAGAATGGCACAAGCAGAGGCATGTCTCTGTCAGTGCTGCCATTCAAGCACTGCCTGCCAGAAAAATGGGGGCAGGAAGGAAGAAGGGCTGAAAAGGGGGGGGGGAGTTGTGCTTTGTTCTCTCCCTCTTGATGTCAACAATTGTGAGTGCCTTTGCCTTTGCTCCAGGGTGTAACAAGGTAGATTTCAGAAGGGACAAAGCCTTCATCCTGTTCATACAATATTACCTTGCTAACGCCATTGCATATGGTTTTAAATGCATCATTGTTAATAATTATCTCTACTGTTCTTTCCTGTGTCTTTGACCTTCCTCCTTGTAACCAATGAATTGCCTTGAGAAGCAATGCTGCGCATTTGCCATTTGGCTGTGGAAAATAGCAGCTGTCCTCTAGATGGCGTGATCTCAGCAATGCTTTTTAAACCAGTGTTCACTCTTTCTCCTACTGTTTCAGGAAAAATGCTGTAATTTAAGCAAGCCAGGCTCATTAATAAAAGGCTGGGTGTATCACAACCCCATGAGCACACCACAAATGAGTTACCCCTGTGTTCTTGGCTTTCCAGGGAGCTCATGCTCAGCAGG